GATCCAAAAGTAAGGTTAAAGTCCAATCCGGTCTGACAGCAATTAATCAGTCCAAAAGGGGAATCCAGAAGAAGTGTCAGGTCCAGTCCGGGTCGGCATCAGGTAACAGAAGCAGAGGGAGAATCCTAGAGAATAGTAAAAGTCCAATCCAGTCCGGCAATAAAGAATCAATTCAAAGGGAAATCCAAATAGAGAAGTTAATTCCAGTCCAAGTCAGCAACAAATGAAGTAAGATTATCTGTAAGAATGGTCAGAGTTTAGTCCGGTTTGGCAAAGTGGAAATCAAATGTAGTATAAAGGACTTTAAGTTTTAAGGCGAATTAGAAAGGTCATTTGGACAGGAAATAACGGCACCACAGAGCACAGATAGGTGTCAGTTGCACACTGGTGAAGAGACACATTAAAGGACCACTATAGTCACCCAGACCACTTCAGCTCAATGAAGTGGTCTGGGTGCCAGGTCCCTCAGGTTTTAACCCTGCAGCTGTAAACCATAGTAGTTTCAGAGAAACTGCTATGTTTACATTGCAGGGTTAATCCAGCCTCTAGTGGCTGTCTTCCTGACAGCCACTAGAGGCTGCTTCCGCAACGCTTAATGCGAAAATCACAGAACGTCCATAGGAAAGCATTAAGTAATGCTTTCCTATGTGCGGTTTGAATGCACGCGCGTCTCTGGTCGCGCATGCACATTCGACTCCACTCGGGAGCTGACATCAGAGGGGGAGGAGAGGTCACTATAGTTTGTATTCTTGGCAATATAGTGGTCCTTTAATTGTGCACTGGGATATTGATGTTGGGTGTTGTGGAAATAAGGTCTACACATATTTCCTAGTTAGTGAAAATGTCTATTTACTCATTCCACGATATATCATATATAAAGCTGAGCACACATGTTTTAATCAAAATGGCTGCTAGAAGCTTCTAAACCCTCCTTCCCCCCCCTTCCCTTCTTAACACCAACTAACTACCTCGTGCAGCAAGATGGCGCCGGGAAACCGTGGGAGACCCTCATGGTCCCGGTGACATCACTTCAGTAGGCAGAGCATTAGAGCAACCACTTAACACCTAACCAATAATTGATGTATTATTCTATGTTATCTCTGACAATGCTTATGATGTAATTTTGCTTTAAAAGGGACCTGCCGTCCCCTCTGAATAAACTTTCCTCAAGTTATTCAACAACCTGGAACCTGTGTCTGGTGTGAATTACTTCAGGGAGCGTGCACGCATTGTTTCATTGATTTGGCCAGGGGCAGATACACAAAGAAATAATCAATATATTGATTGATTTTTCCATTTCAATTGGCGCCCAACGTGGGGCCCACCGGAGAGCCGGTTCGGAGGGCCGGAACCAACGGACCGGAGCGGACCTCCGGAAAGTGGGACAAGCGGAGCCTGATCACCTCCATAATACAGCCGTTGCCTGTGTTGTTCTCCTGTTTTGTGTCGGTCTGTCTCCGAGTCCACTTCCGGCTTCCAGAAGGCTACTAGAGACAGGTAATTAACTCATCCGGTGTGCCCTTTTAAAGTGAACCTGTCGATTGTCTATCTGCCTCCTGTATTCATCTGTATGTTTGCGTCTCTCCTTCTTTTAAAATATGTTTGCTTGACTGCCTAGCGGGCAGGGAACGCATTTTATATGTTTGCTTGACTGCCTAGCGGGCAGGGAACGCATTTTATATGTTTGCTTGACTGCCTAGCGGGCAGGGAACGCATTTTATATGTTTGCTTGACTGCCTAGCGGGCAGGGAACGCATTTTATATGTTTGCTTGACTGCCTAGCGGGCAGGGAACGCATTTATGTTTGCTTGACTGCCTAGCGGGCAGGGAACGCATTACAGCCGGTGGGGCTGGGATTTTATGTTAGCTTGACTGCCTAGCGGGCAGGGAACGCATTACAGCCGGTGGGGCTGGGATTATATGTTTGCTTGACTGCCTAGCGGGCAGGGGACGCATTACAGCTGGTGGGGCTGGGATTTTATGTTTGCTTGACTGCCTAGCGGGCAGGGGACGCATTACAGCCGGTGGGGCTGGGATTATATGTTTGCTTGACTGCCTAGCGGGCAGGGAACGCATTACAGCCGGTGGGGCTGGGATTTTATGTTAGCTTGACTGCCTAGCGGGCAGGGAATGCATTACAGCCGGTGGGGCTGGGATTATATGTTTGCTTGACTGCCTAGCGGGCAGGGAACGCATTACAGCCGGTGGGGCTGGGATTTTGTTTGATTATTGCAGTGTTTTTCATTGGCACCTGTGTAATACCGGGACCAGCCTGGTGGGTGACGGCTGGGGACTGCTATACTTTGAATATTTGGCACCAGTGGTGTTAACATGTACATGGCCATTTTACTCTCTATCATTCTGTGGTTTCTGTTTAATTGTTGTTACAGTGTGGGTACCCTTGGTGTGTGTGTGTATTGTGTGGTTAGTTCTGGATTCCGGAGTTTACGCTCATTTATATGTTTGTGATTTTTGCAAATGTCTTCTCATTAGCGCAGCCACGTTCATTTTCTCCTTTGTTATTTATCTCTCCTGTGCCTGTTGCCCAGAGCTGTGTTAGTCACCCACGCTCATTCGCTCCTGTCCGTGACCACCACCCCGGGTGGGCGGATCTCTGTGACTGGTCTACGTTTGGGGAAGACGCACGGGGCTCAAGTTTTCGTGGCAGTCGAGCACTGTAGACATTCTTTTTCCCTTTTTCCCTTGTACCTCCTCTATTTATCTGTCTTTAGCGCGTGGCACGCTTCGTTTACTCAAGATGGGACAGCAACACGCTAGACCTGCTAAGGGCTTGCTGGCTTGTGACATTGTGAAAGAAAGGGCAGGGGAAGATGCAATGTTAAAACTTAAAAAGATTGCTAAAGTGTGTGGCTTCCAGATGTTGCCCAGTGGGAGATTGCAGCCTGAGTTTTGGAGGAAGTTACTCATAGACAAGGAAGGGTTGTTGTTGGATAGTGGACTCA